ATGGAGGCTTACATGTGTCGCTGTGGCAAAGAGCTCATGGAGCGGAACGCGGTTTTGCACTCTCCGCATAGAATTGACGAGCTCGTTAAGATCTTCATCCACGCTACGAAGGTAAGCGTTCCCTGTCTCCATCTTAAATTGAGCATACGTGAGCAAGAGTTGGATTATAAGGAGAGTTGGGGATAATGAATGATTTGTCGGAGCAAATTACTGACATTGCCAGCAGATGGAGATTGGCTTCTGGGAGATGTTCCCGTCCGCTTAGCTGCTACCCGGATTAAGTCTACATATTATCAAGGGTACGCGAGACAACACAACATGTGTGCAGATTCTCGGCTAGGATGGAGGGTTTATTCTATTTATTTCACTCATGGCATTGTTGCATGCGTTTCTGTTACCGTCTCATTTTTCACAGTCCCTGCAGAGTATGATTTGGCAAAGCACCTAAACTAGGTAGTCTTTGGCGAGAAGAAAGACTAGATGGAGATATAAATAGTCAGAGACCTCGTTCTACCTATCACCTACTTGATTGATCATATATATGAAGATTTCACGAAGTCTTTTCTCTTCAAAGCTCAATCTGATAAGAAGGGGAAGAGTTGCTTCGCGATAGACGGGACCAATGGGATGAATTCCTTGAACAAAGGTACATGGATACATTGGTGATAGGTACCTGCCTATTTATGGAATAAAAGAAGCACCTTCCATCCTCAGAACGTCTTGGTTATCGATAAGATCGTTACATCCAAATATGTTTGTAGCGGGTATTGGTGCATTAGTCAGGTAACCACAGTACGTATAGGTACATAGGCTCCACTTTTCCGCAGTGCCGTGGGGCACGGCGGTTGGGCGAGACCTTTCTTCCCACTGTTTTTCCCGCAGGCAGGTACGGGATACATACATAAGTCGTCTAAGTTAGCAGGTACCTTTCAGAAGTGCTTGTGGGGCGCGCTTACCTAGTGGTAAAAAAAATTGTCTGGAGGTGAATTTTCGCCTCCATCAAGTAAACTATCGGCATTCCCAGTCTTCTTCCCAAAATCAACAACCCTTTCACCCATCCCACCCCCATCTCTCCATACACAACCACGTTCGTCTCTCCCCGCTCATTTCTGCAGGTCGCGCTCCTGCCTTTGTCTTGCGTAGCTCAAGGCTCTCGTCTTTCCTGATTGCCTGGCTTTGCGTAATTCTAATCGCGTTCGCGTTGAGTTGTTATCTGAACTCGCGTGCATAAAACCTGCTCATCCCCCATCTTCATACTACGAGCCTCACAAACTTTACATATCCACAACACGATCATGTCTTACGGTGGTGGTTACGGTGGCGGCTACAGTTCGCGTGGTAGCGGTGGACACGGCCATGAAGGTGGCTACCGCTCTGGTGGTCGTCACGAATATAGCAGTCATGGGTAAGCATAAATCTGCGCCTTATTTTTGCTTCGTTTTTGCATTGCCAAGCATCATCCGTCATCCAATGCATTCGAATCGCTTCAAATTGTCTACAATCTGTTTTGATAGCCACTATACTAACATCTTTGTCTTAAAAGTAGTAACGGATACTCTGGCGGCTATGGCGGTGGCGGTGGTGGTGGTGGTTACGGCGGTGGCGGTTATGGTGGTGGAGGTGGTGGTGGTGGTGGTGACCGAATGAGCAATCTTGGAGCCGGTCTCAGCAAGCCGCAGTGGGGTATGTTCTTTGTCCATACGACTCATTATACAATTATACTAATCTCAATCCACAGATCTTGGAAAATTACCCAAGTTCGAGAAATCTTTCTACAAGGAGGATGATGCTGTCTCCCAGAGGCCCATCAGCGAGGTCGAGCGATTCCGACGTGATCACCAGATTACGATTGCCGGCAGAGAAGTCCCCAAGCCTGTCGAAACCTTTGACGAGGCTGGATTCCCCCGATATGTTATGGACGAGGTTAAAGCTCAAGGCTTTCCCGCCCCTACCGCTATTCAATCTCAGGGTTGGCCTATGGCCCTCTCCGGTCGTGATGTTGTCGGTATTGCTGAGACTGGCTCTGGAAAGACTCTTACGTATTGTCTTCCCGCTATTGTTCACATTAATGCTCAGCCTCTACTTGCACCTGGCGATGGTCCTATCGTGCTTGTCCTGGCTCCCACCAGAGAATTGGCCGTCCAGATTCAACAGGAAATCACCAAATTCGGCAAATCATCCCGGATCCGCAACACTTGTGTTTACGGAGGTGTTCCTCGCGGTCCCCAAATCCGAGACTTGTCCAAGGGAGTCGAGGTCTGCATTGCCACCCCTGGACGCTTGATTGATATGCTTGAGGGTGGCAAGACCAACCTTCGTCGTGTCACCTACCTGGTCCTTGACGAGGCCGATCGTATGTTGGACATGGGTTTTGAACCCCAGATCCGCAAGATTATCAGCCAGATTCGGCCTGATCGTCAGACACTCATGTGGTCTGCCACTTGGCCCAAGGAGGTCCGAGCTCTGGCTTCCGAATTCCAGACTGACTTCATTCAAGTCAACATTGGTTCGATGGATTTATCTGCTAACCATCGTATCACTCAAATTGTCGAGGTTGTTTCCGAGAGTGAGAAGCGTGACCGTATGATTAAGCATCTAGAGAAGATTATGGACAACAAGGAGAACAAGTGCCTTCTTTTCGTGGGCACAAAACGCGTTGCCGATGAAATCACCAGATTTCTCCGCCAGGATGGCTGGCCGGCCTTGTGTACGTTCCAGCTTTCGAATTATATATTCTTGGTCACTGACATCTCTGTAGCGATCCACGGCGACAAGCAGCAGAACGAGCGTGATTGGGTCCTTGACCAGTTCAAGACCAACAAGAGTCCCATCATGGTTGCCACCGACGTGGCTTCTCGTGGTATTGGTATGATATTAATTCCCCACCCCCCACCCCTACACACCTTCCAGCAGAGTTATATCCAATGTGCTTGACTGTGACGTCTAGGGGCTTTCTTGATTGCGCACATATGTCTGGCCTAATCGTGTCTCGTGGTTCTCCTTTTAATCGGATTATCGGGAACTGTGGTACGGCCTATGGGCTGTGTCGATGTTCCGCCTCGTACCTGATATCCCGTGGTGCAAGTAGGCGAATTTGAGCATTTCTTGATTCTGTCAAGCTGTCTCTTAGATTCCCGAATCCTGAGGACCCGGACCAGACTATTGGGAACAATTCCAGATTGGCAGTGTTGATGCAACAGACAGCCCCATTCTCGATGGAGAAAGCACAGAACAATATGCTTATGGCGCCCTAAGTCCGCCGCTGGGACTTGCCCCGTAGCAACTCGTTTTCTAGAGCTAACCTTTTGTGATCAAGATGTGCGCAACATCACTCATGTGATCAACTATGACTATCCGAACAACTCGGAAGACTACATTCACCGTATTGGTCGTACCGGTCGTGCTGGCGCCAAGGGTACCGCCATCACTTTCTTCACCACTGACAGTAAGTGTCTCATTCCAGTCCTCAATCCTCTTGTGCCTTGACGTGAAACTAAATTGCCACCTCATTAGATTCAAAGCAGGCTCGTGACCTTGTTGGGGTTCTTCAAGAGGCGAAACAGCAAGTAGACCCGAGATTAGCTGAGATGGCTCGCTACGGCGGAGGTGGTGGCGGCGGCCGTTACGGTCGTGGCTACGGTGGTCGCGGTGGTCACCGTGGTAGGTCTCATCATATTCACTCTGGAATAGCCAGAAACTGACTGGATTGATAGGCGGCGGCGGTGGCGGCGCCAATGCCATGCCTCTCGGTAATCGACGATGGTGATCACATAAAAAACACCTACTTTAGGTGCCTCACACAAACCTCTACTTATGCCACTGTAACGTCTGTGGAAAAGTTCGCAGTTTTTTAAAAAGCACAAACGGCGTTGTCTAGAGGATACGGCTGATTAGACATGGTAATATCGGCTTTTCTCGAGGGGTACTTTGTTTTCTAAGATATGCACTTCGTGCCCTGATTCTATTACGAGTTTTCCCAGGTCATTCAGGAAGCACCGGAGTACCTCAGCAGCTCAAGGCACACGCTAATGGCCGTTCATTGAAAGCCCGCCTTTCAGAAATCCACCGGTACCCTTAATCGGCCAGTGGGATGGACGTAGGCTTCAGTACTTGCTGACCTGTTTCTAGATTGGAACTGCTGAGTTACATCATATCTGACTTTCTAAGTCGCTCATGTCACAGGTAGATACGCTTGCTTGTCCGCGATGCACACATTAAGGAGCACACTGGACTGGACTTCTTAGCTAGCATAAAAGAAATACGTTTTCCTAAGACCAATCTTCAGAAAAGTGTCAATCACTTTCAGAGGAGTATTATGTAGCAACGGAATGGTCTGATATCTGCATTTCGGAGGTCTGGCTGACACACTGAGATGGGTGAGACCATCCCATGAATGTGCAATGTGTGATCTATTCAGCACAGTTCCCAATATGCCTATCTATCTCTAATAACATCTCGGCCCGCCCTTTGTCCATTATGTCTTTTACCTATTGTGCTATCCCCTTGCTATTGTAATTTTCTTGCACTCTATGACTTGATGGCATAGATTAACTCCCTCCGTGTGCGAATCCGATTCCAGTCACTCATTGGCAGCCTGGCAGAGGAGCCTTTCTGATATGGAGCCTCCCTTCTCCGACTAGTTTAGACACCCCCCGACCCCGACATTCGATGCACCAGCCCGTTCAGCCTTCCCAATTGCAACGTGCAAGACGACGTTGTGCACCCCGATAGATTGATTATGTACTAACCATAGGGCTTAACGAAGGTAAGGGTGAGTACTGTGTAGTAATAGTACTTATGTACCTTTGCTCACTGTTACGTTATCTTAGAGATTTTTACACTAGATTGAGGCTCGTCTCGTGTGCGAGCGACACCAACCGACTCCTACTTTCCAAATTGCAAAAGAAAAAACCCGAAAGAGGAGGGCAGGAGGAACTCTATGTGGGAAGTGGAAAATGAAAGGGACCAAAAAATATATATCGAAACGGCGAAAAAATTGTCTCTCGATCGGGGAATCGAACCCCGGCCACCTGCGGACTTGCTATAAATGACAAGCAGGTATCCTGACCACTAGACCAATCGAGATGTGGATCTGATAGGTGATTGATGTAATTCGCAGCGCGTATTCTTGCTCTTGTTTTAGTCGATTCGGTGTTTGTGTGTGTGTGAAGTTGATTTCGTACAGGAGGGAATGATACAGAAGATTTTTTTTTTTTTTTGGGGGGGGAGGGGCAATTCTGGTGGATTATTTATGTGAGCCGGGGAATCGTCGTCGTCGTCGCTTGACGGTTAGGCGTGGGATCTATGCTTTCGCACATATGATATGGACTGGGGAATTAGAGTTGGCTTCACGGATGCTAATCCGTACTGGGCGAGATATCACGGGGGATATGGCGCCGGCACAGTACGCTGTTCCTTCGCCTGCTGCTGTATTGGGCTGGAGCGATGATTCTGGTTCATGGCTTAGGGCTGCGCTGAGGTGGCTGATGGCGCGTTGACGCGTGGTCCTTACCTGATGCTTTTTTCGCTCTCTCTCTCTCTCTCTATTCCGTGAGTGTGAGATGAGATTAGGTTGGCTTTGCACGGTACAGTACTCGGTATTCGATCATGTGGCTCTTGCGTGCTTTTCCTGGGAGGCGGTACGTACGCAACTCTGATGAGACGGCCAGAGGCGAGGGGGCAAAGAATGCTTGCTCAGCTGAGTAGATGATAGATAGATAGGCGTCATTGTCATCATAAGCTTGCGTCGTGAGATCATATGATAGCTGATACTGCTTGTTCATGTCCAGTGAGCCACGGTCTTATTTTATTTGTCTTCGTCTGTGATGTGTCTCTTAGTCAGATGCTGCCAATCGAGTCTTGGTATAGAGAGGGGGAGATGCATATGGACTTTTCACTGCTTCACTTGGAGTTGGAGCAAGGGCTGTTATCAGGGACGTATCGTATCGTCTTTCCCATGTTATCTCTACCATGTATGAGAGAGAGTAAGGGCTTAATCCGGCTTGATATTACTGAGCGTGTCTTATATTGCCAACGAAATCCTTTTCCGTTTTCTACGCCACATCAAACCGCCGTCATGACAAAAAAACCACCTGCATCAGCACATCAGCGTCGAGGTCCTCTTCACAGATAGCATATAACCTACATGATATCAAACCTCAAGTACTCATGGAAATTCTTTGCGCCGCGGCGGGAAAAAAAAAAAAAAAAAAAAACCGCCGATAGGTACGATGGCGGCAAGACGCCCTCAAAAAGGAAGGGAGGAAAAAAAAACAAAAGAAGGGCACAGCACAAAACTTGTTTTAACCATGGTATCACTACTGCTCGCATTGTACAAGGCTGTTATAGCCAGTCTTTAGATGACATGTCAAATCGGTGGCTCTCCGAGTCCCGATACCAAAGGGGAAAAAAAAAAAAAAAATCAAATTCCAAAACTTTGTCGGTATTGTATTGGTATGTGCGTGACAGACATCGCCACCCATGTATCATATTCCCTCGCCTGGAATGATAATCTTCTCCCCCTCGACGACTTTGAAACACGATATCGTGGGTGAAAAAAAAAAGGGGGGGGAGGGGGATCAAAAAAAATAGATATATATATAATGTAAATCATAGACCTGAACTGAAAAACATTGGAATACTTATTAAAATATGTATGTATTTCATTCTTATCGCTGCGCCGTGAGTTTGATGATTCCAATATCTCAGATTGAGGCGCACGCAAGGGAGATTTCGGTTCACTTCCCTCATCATATGTACGTGTGTATAGGTATGAATGAATGTAGTGTAGTGTATGTATGTTGTAACCAGGACCTCTTCTCTCCAGGATCCCAACTGCCAGCCCCGGCTTTTCAGCTTCGTCAATCAGGATCCTCGCCACAAGGCTCATCCTCGTTGCCTCGCTCTCGACTCCGCTTTGGTTCTTGCCCTTCGGACGCATGTTGAGATTATGAGAGAGAGAGAGAGAGAGTGTGTGTGTGTGTGTTGGGGACGTGAGGACTCGGTGGCTTTACGGCAGAGAGACAGCCACCTCGCCTCCCATGGATGCAGGAAGTAATACTGCCGTGTTTATTGTATGGCATGGTATGGTATGGTATGGTATGTAAGTGTAGTGGTTGATAAATTTGTAGCTGGACGGCATGCAAGCCCTGTGCCACTTCGCTTCATTCGTCTGGGCACGCAGTTGGACAAAAGAAAGAGCGGCATTGCAGTCATCATCTCCTTTCTGTGCGTGTGCGTGTGTGCGTATGTGTGTCTTCCTACTTCCTATCTCAGAGTGTCTATCTGGCCGCTCACTCTCTGCTCTCCCTCCCGCCTCCCCTCCCCCCCTTCTGTTGTCTCACCGTCTCTTTTCTCATATGCATCATCATATTCCTGCTCGGACAGCCGGATATGAAACTCACGATACATACATGGAGACACATACATACGAAGTAGCCACATATATGGACACAGACACAGACACAGACATACAACGAGCGAAGATCAGAGCCCATCGTGAGACTTGATTTAGACCATCATTAGCGACTCTGGGGATGCCATGTGTAACGGGATCTACTTATAGGTCTAAGCTGGCTGACTGGCTGGCTGGCTGGCCTGACAGGCTACCTACCTTGCCTACTTAGCTAGCAGAAATAAGGCGATCCAGTCAGAAGCGTGATAAGCGACAAGCCCATCATGCATCATCTGGGAGAAGCTGCCAGATCGCTCTCGGTTCCTACCTTAGACTGAATTCAAGATGCTACACTACCTACCTACCAAGCCAAAGTTGTCCCCCCCCCCCCCCCTCTCTCCTCCCGCAGGCCAGGAGGGCACCGGTTTCCCGTTACCGTAACCTTAACCATTGGAACCATTCTTTTGCCTACCTTAGGTACCCTTAGGTACCTAGTGTACGTACTTATGTGTAGGTATTTCTCTCTCTATTTCTTTTCTATTTTCATTATCATTTTCATCTCATTTTTTTTTATACTATTATTATTTTCTTGCTTTAGTCGGTCTAGGTACGTATAGGTAGGTAGGTAGTTAGTTAGCGGTTCCGGAACCAGAAAAACATAACCGACACCGCTAGTGTGTTGCGACACGAGGCGCACTACACTAGGTAACTTACCTTACCTAAATAAAGAATGAGAAGTGAGAGAGGGATGCGAGGACACCACATGCTTGGATTCTTCTTGCTCTTGGCACGGATCGCTCTCTGGTGGTTGCCGTCGTGGTAGTGGTGGTGGTGGTGGTGGTGGTCGGTCGCGGCGGTCTAGGTAGGTGTACGCAGTAGGGGACCTGCGCTTGTGCCTGTTCAGTGGACCGTGGCTCATCGGAACCAGGGAAAACTAAAAAAGGTAATGGAACCAAGGAATGGGATGAACGATGCTTGTTTTTTTTTCCCTTGTTTCCTGTTTCTGTTTTTGGGTTGCCTGTCTCAAGTTTCTTTTAGATACAGGAACTAGTATAGTTACCTGCTTGGCTGATACTACCTCTAAGTACTTATTATTACTGCCGCGCTTTTGACACAGGTCGAGATTATATCTGATATCTGATACCTACACTATACCTACCTACGTCCGTACCCTCTACACCTACTCGTGGGTTTTCTTTGTTAGCCTATACAAGAAACAGAGAATCTCAGGGCCGGTTCAGTGGGCCAATCTGTGTCAATGCCTACAAGCTGTATGGACAATATAGATGAAATATAGCACAAACTGACCCGCTGAACCGGCCCTGAGATTCTCTGTTTCTTGTATAGGCTAACAAAGAAAACCCACGAGTAGGTGTACCTACCTAGTCTAGGGATGTACTTCGTACCTATTGTAACCTACGATGTAGGTAGATTAGATATCTAATATCTCATATCCCTACGTATAAGTAATCCGTAGGATAAGAAGAGAAAGAAGAGAAAGAAATAATAAAAAGGGCCCACATGTCTGACGTATTGATGATCAAAGAAAGGACAGTGCATAGCAATCTTATCTCCTCTCTCTCTCTCTGTAGGTATATTGTTACCTACATGTGTGGGTTATGTAGGTATGTATGTACGCGCGCTGTCATGAGAAAAGAGAGAGAGAGTTGAGGTGAGGTGAGAATTACCTACATGTAGAGTACTTCGTACATCGCGGGCAAAGAGAGGGGAGGGAAGCGAGCAAGAAGGCCCGCCGGGACAAATACCAACCGCATATTACACTTCAGGCAAATCAGTAAAAAAAAAAAAAAAAAAAAAACCTGATCCATACCTCATTCGCTGTTCACCGGTAAGTTCCTTAGGTACAAGTACCTACCTACCTAGTGTGATGGCCCTCCGGCCCCCCCCCCCCCCCCCCCCCCCTCTCTCTCTCTCTCTCTTTCTCCTCTCCCCATGTCGGACCCCATGTTTTTTCATGCTGACAACGAAGCAACAAGAGTTAATTTTTTCCCCCCCTCCTTTGGGTGTGGGGGGAAGGAAGGGAAGGATGGCGGACGTTACGAGCAACACAGGTACGTAAGTAGGGAATGTACAAGTACGGATACGCACGCACGCACGCACGCACGCAGAAGCCGGATCAGAAGATCTCTTTCCGTTTTCTGCGCTTGAATCGTCCCCGTGTAGTGTAAGGTAAGGGTAAGAGAGTAAGGTAGGTAGGTAGGTAGGTAGTGGGAGCGAATATCTGTTTTTGTTTCGTTCGGACGTGCCGAGGGGGGCCCTCGCCTAAAACAGAAGCGAGCGGGAAAAGGGAACGTAGTGTAGGTACTTCGTAGTGTAGAGAGAGGGAAAAAGAGAATCAGGTGTTCGCGTAAAAATAGATACCTATCATAGGGTATGTATGTGTAGGTATGTATGTACGAAGTACGTACGAGCGTACCTAGTGTAGTGTAGGTAGGTAGGTATCCCTAAAATAGGCAGTACTATACATGTGTACGGAATAGGTGCAATGTACGGACGTAGGTAGGTTACAATACGGACTTGTGATTGATTGATTGATTGATTGATTGATGATTGATTTGTTTGATTATTTTGCCTTGCTGCCAGAAACGTTTGACCTACCTACCTACCTACCTACCTACCTACCTAACCAAGCAAGCAACTTGCAATGCCTTATCTTGTTCCCCCACATGGA